ACACCTTTCAGAAATATTTTCCCACAGGTCCCTCACCCACGCCACTAATCTATACAGCATACAACTACTCCCAAGAAATTGCCTCCAGCTTCCTGATGAACAGAACGGGAATCAAGACACTTGATAGACTTACGTTGACCTCAAATTACTCCCTTAACCATTTCTGAGGTGTTTGATCTCTCAACGCCGTAACTACTCGTTACTTCTCATTGTGCACTTTACCACACGTGGTACACTACCAAATGCCTTCCAAGTTTACTTATAGAGCAAAACAACATCTCTCCCAAGAGGTTTCCCATCTGCCTGGCCATAAATATTGGTACAAACCCAAACCATTCCGCTCCTGTTTATCTTTCCTTTATCAGTTTCTCTACGACTTCCATCACCGAACTAGTATATTTGGGCTCCTTTAGTTCCCATGTTCAAGTGCATCATAATTTACCCTTCTAAATATTCTAGACCACACACTTCCTCCTGTCGTCTGTCACAGTACATTTTATTCGTCCATATGGTCAACATTAACACGCCTAAATCGCTGGATAAATTCAACAACTATCCTAGAGCTTTAAGCCATCTTTCCATTCATCATTTTGTCAATTGCTTTCTCCACCCTTCTCTTTCAATCCGTAGGCATAGTCCCTATACTGGCCAAGCCGTATAACTTGTCAGAAAAGATTATCAATACTCTAATTCAGCATTATACATCAGACGTCGAAACAGTGACGTAATGCCTTGATGAATTTAAAGTTATCTATATAAAAATAATCATTAGCTAAACTTCGTCTAGCCAAAACCGATGAGAACCAACTGAATCCAACCAAAAGTATGCAACAGTTAACGGTTCAATACACCTGTATATGTTCGGAAACACTTCCCACTAGTCCTGTCCCGAGATTTTCCAAATTATTTAAAATAAATCCTAACATATAGTCGACAGTCGACACCTTCACACTCTTAACTTAGGTACGGCCTTGAAACTGCAACAACTTTACTAGAATTATATTTTTTTAAGATATTTGTGGTTGTTTGTAAAAGGCTTTTGGAGAAACTATAGAAACCTCGGGATACCCAACACTTGTCCCGGGGTTTAACTGAACGATTTACCGTCCAGTATCCCGCTCCATAAACCCTATTTGTGACGCACTATGAGGAGGTATACAGTTGGTAATTAAGGGAGCAGTAATATATGACGTTATCTGTACAATAATGAATTAGGAGTGGAACTAACCGGTCAGCAGAAGCGCCCAGTAGCATCAACAGCAATCAGCGAGCAGTATCCAGTAGCATCAGCAACAGTCAGCCAGCCAGCGGAAGGACAGAGAGCGAGGCGAGCTGTCTTGAGTATCGTCAACCAGTAACTAACCAGGAGCAGTACACAGACTGAGGCAGGTGGAGGGTGTCGGGTAAAACATCGTCCCTGTCCCAAGTTCACTGTGAAACTTGATAATTTGCGAACAAGGCCTCGACTCCGCCATACTGAACCCTCATTCATCCAAATTCCAGTTTACTAACGAAGATATGAACACTATTACTGAACCACCAACGAGAAAAATAACTTTAAGTTATATTAATTAGCAAATTAACTTAATAAACCTTGATTACTTAGAAATTTACTTAAAATTCTCGCGAGAATTGATGCATGTTCGAATCCCTGGTTTCGAATCCTCGGTGTTTCGTGGTCCTGGTAATGACGTCATCAGTGGGCGGGGCATATAAACGAGGCGTTTGGACTATCAATTGATCGTTGTGTTTGTAACTGTTATTTGTAAGACAATAGACATACAGGCACGTGCATGCTTTTATTATTATTATTACTACTACTAATTTGTTATTATAATATTGTTACCATTATCATCATAATAGCTTATCATCATCATTAAGTGACGGACAGATAATGGGTTGGGAGGTGAGGAGGCGTCTCGAGTCATCCTCTCTATTGTGTTAGTCTTGGGGTCATCTGAGAGGTCACTTGGTTCTCGAGCATCGACCATAGCCACGTGTTAATTGTGCTTATACCTTATGCATACGAATAGTTATAATAAATTGGATGGGGTGGGGGACATGGTTTGGTGATGAGGTGGATGCCGAGTGTTTTACGGGGGATGTGGGAGTGGCATGTTTATGTCAGGTGTGGGAATTTAAACTAAAAACCATTGCGTTAAAAATCTAGTTTTTCTAAGGAATATCTTCGTCTCGAGAACAACTCACCAATTGATATAACTATACCATCAGGCGGTTGGTCACGTCTTTGTTACACACTGTTGACAAGTACTGGGCATATCATTGCTCTCTCTTATGCACTGTTGGCAAGTACTGGCCACGCACTGGCTTCAGAATGTATCTGTACCTACGCCAGTGTTGGTCAAGTCTGGACACTGTGCCGTCACAACACACTCTGGCAAATTTTCCCAAGAGTTCACAACTCTCATTCCATTAAAATTTTTCCTCACAATTTTCTGAACTTATGGCTTCTTCAATAACCTTAAACTGTGACCTCTAATGTGGCGGCCATCCGCTAGATCCAGGTATTTTTTACTTGTTATCCTTCAGGAGATGTTCTCTGTATGTGGATTAAAATAACCGCCGCTTTCCTTCACTTGTATATCATCATAGAATAACCAAATTGAAATCACCGTGTCTCCATTCCAGTACAATATTTGAGTTTACCATTAATTTAGTCCGTTTTCTTTGATACCCACGTAAGAGAACTGAAATGGGTAACTAAAGTATTATTTAGGAACTTCATTTTTTCAATTGTTATATAAATTTCACCACTTATCAGCCCTCCATAACATATAAATATATTTATCTAATCTAAAATAATCATGATAATGTTTATATAAGACACAAATAGACAACTAACTTACATTGAAGTACATAAAAAAGCTAAGTTTTATCATTTTAAGTTGAAATTAAAAATTATCTGATCTACATGAATGAGTTTAAACGACGGAATTAAATAACAGTTAAATGATATAGTAAACAAAGTAGTATTTGTAGTATTAAACACCAGGTTTAAACTACCGAGTTAAAGAAGGTTAAATGATATAGTAAACACAAGAGTAGTTGTTGAGTGACGATGTTTTATGAATGAGATTAAATAGTTGCTTTACAAATATTGAAATTCCTCTTATTTTTGTGGCGAATGGAAACATTAATTTCCCGCCATTTTTATAATATTTTACGGGACATTAATTTCGAGTTAGTCAAGTAGATGTTTCTAATGGAGTATTATTATCACTTCAGTTTTATTTAGAGTTTAAAAGAAATTAATTTCGCGACAGCTCAATTATTGTTAGTTAGACTTTATCTTCGCGTCACTATATAATATTTTAGCGCCAAGTTAATTGATTGTTTGAATTATTATCATTTTCACGCCATTATTATTGACTGCAAGAGAGTTTATTTTCGCGCTAATTTAAATAAATATTAATAAGAATTTAATTTCGCGCTACTTTAGATAAATGTTAATAATAATCTGTTTTCACGGTAGTCCAAGTAATTGTTGATAGGAATTTATTTTCGCGCTACACCAAATGATTGTTGATAGTGTGTTATTTTCGCGCCAGTTAATATAGTGTGTTGTTAAGACCTAATTTCAATGTCGAAAGTACACAGGACATTTAAATTAGCGAGAAAATTATTTATAACAAGTCCTATTAAGAGATGTAAACTAAATATTGAAATTTAACAAACAAAATTAACCTAAGAAATACTTTAAGAAATCAATCAACACAATATCGAACACAACAAAATTAGCATTGAAATAAGTCCCCACAATTACTCTTCACCAAATACCTGGATTAAATAAATACACCAAAAAACACATTTCAAATTTTATTAATCAACAAATTTGCCTTTATTTTTTACAAGGATTGTATTCCAAAGTTAAGTAGATCACATGAGTATACTAACACGTCTTCATCACTCATACAGAAACAACAAATAATAAATACTTAACCTAAACGTCACATCTTTGGGCAACTGGTTGAAGGGAACCTCAGTATAAATGGGGCCCAGGACTAATGGGGCCCAGTCTTAATGGGCCCCAGTCTTAATGGGGCCCAGTCTTAATGGGGCCCAGTCTTAATGGGCCCCAGTCTTAATGGGCCCCAGTCTTAATGGGCCCCAGTCTTAATGGGGCCCAGTCTTAATGGGGCCCAGTCTTAATGGGGCCCAATCTATCAGGACTTACGCCCCCCCACATGACCAGCCACCCATTTCTCACCATACAACGATGAACAATACTGATATAACATATAGCCTGACAAAACATATCCTGATATTTACAAAGAATGAGAGCGATCATGTTAATATAAAATGATAAAAATAATAAACAGACACCATTGGCGACCACCAGAGCACCCCCCCTCCCGACCCATTTGTTTACATTACACTGGCCCGGGTCCTCTCCACCAATGAGCGTCCTTCACACGAATTGATATGTTCATCCTGATTGGTTGCTCATGGCTGGTGAGTCTTTGAGATGCACCAATGAGGGTTTAAAGTCGATTTCTCTTATTAAATGTATAGTAACCAATCAGAGCTCAAAGTTTCTGATGACGGGCCAATCAGCATTTAGCTCTCGAGAAGAACATCACTTGAGTATTTTGGAGGTGAGGGCCTCAGAGAGGGTTATTTAGGGGGTCACCAACTCGAAAAAAAATATATATATAATAAAATATTACAATAGCTGTGTTGTGAACCACCACCATTACTACCACTACTACAACAACTACAAGTATTGCAATAAGCATTAATTCTCCATTTACCATTACCTACTTAACTACAATTAACATTACTTTTATTTCATCTAACTTCAACCACAATTCCCACCACCACCACCACCATTCGTACCTTTACTACCACCCAACTACTAGCATTCACAAGCATCTAGTACCCTCACCAGCCACCTAGTTGCATGCATTAGTGTTTTAAAAAGGAGAGATGGGAAAAAATAATTGGTAAGAATTAAGATGATTGATGATGATGATGATGAGAGAGAGAGAGAGAGAGAGAGAGAGAGAGAGAGAGAGAGGTGCCAATTTTAACCTACAACTAACTAAAAACATTTCACTTACACTTACGAAAATTATCACGAACCAAAAAAATAAATCAAGAAAAAACAACATATATCTGCAGCGTGTTAACAACTACAAGCAAAACAAACAAATTCTAAAACTATAATAATTTTGTCCTGTTAAACCAAAATAATGATAAACTACATAAATAATAAAACAAAACTTTATCTTACTTTTCTTCCATACTATAAAAAAATACAGGTTTAATTTTACAAAGACAATTTAAAACAAATACTTTCTACCGAAGCCAAAACAAAAGAAGTCCTTGTGTACCTATAACAAACACTGTAATTGTTCTTGTTATACGTACATAATTATATACCTTATTATACCGTGAAACCTCCAAATAACGGACTTTCTCTCGATATAATGGACTTTCATCTATAATTCGTTAAATGGAGGTTCACATTTAACGAACCCTCCAAATAACGGACTTTTCTCTTAAAATAATCCGTTTTATAAAAGTTTCACTATAACAAGGTGGATATAACACAAGAACCAAACAATGACAATAAAATCCAGTATATAAGGTGAACAAAGACTTATCACTCACCCTCTAACTTCATCCTAATACCAAACAAATCACAAGAGTACACAAAATAAATATTGCCATAACGCACAGCACCAATAACAAGACTAGGATAATGTTTCCTTAATTCACTACACACAAACATCTTCATCATCAAAGTATTCAGGTAAACACAAAATAAACATCTCGGTCTTTTTATCTGGTCTCAGGTGGACAATACCCACATCTTAAACATTTGGAGGACTCAGAACGTGACCTGACTTATGATGACAATTGGTTGAAGATAAGTTTAAAATATAGGAACTTGGTTGATATGGTGATACAATGGGTTAATGTGAGTCTTTTACGGCAAGATATCGTGAAATTGGTTATAAAATAGGTTAATATGAGTCTCTTTCAGCAAGATATCGTAAAATTGGTCGTAAAATAGGTTAATAGGAGTCTTTTTCGGCAAGATATCGTAAAATTGGTCGTAAAATAGGTTAATAGGAGTCTTTTTCGGCAAAATATCGTAAAATTGGTTGTAAAATAGGTTAATATGAGTCTCTTTCAGCAAGATATCGTAAAATTGGTCGTAAAATAGGTTAATAGGAGTCTTTTTCAGCAAGATATCGTGAAATTGGTTATAAATGAGTTAATGTGAGTTATTCCTTCGGCTTGGGGATCGTCTTAGATCGTCAGTACATTTCCCAACACTACAAAAGATTCCCTCAAGTCAATGCCGATTTCCATGACCCATATCTTGAATCAGGTCATGTGTGTACAAAACAATCTAGGTGAATTTGATTGCTCTAATGGCACCTTGTTTGAACTAATGGCACCCTGTTTGACGTAATGGCACCCTGTTTGACCTAATGGCACCCTGTTTGACGTAATGGCACCCTGTTTGATTCAATGGCACCTTGTTTGAACTAATGGCACCCTGTTTGACCTAATGGCACCCTGTTAATGGCACCCTGTTTGACGTAATGGCACCCTGTTTGATTCAATGGCACCTTGTTTGAACTAATGGCACCCTGTTTGACCTAATGGCACCCTGTTTGACCTAATGGCACCCTGTTTGATTCAATGGCACCTTGTTTGAACTAATGGCACCCTGTTTGATCTAATGGCACCGATCTATGGCACTAACTTGGATATATGGCACCATGTTAATTCTAATGGCACTCTAGTTTAGAAGAGTGCCATTAAATCTTACAACATAGAGAAATAATAATAAAAACATACAACAACTAAATTCTTTCGTCAATATACAAAAACTTTAGGTGGGGTTTAGTTTCCTCATGGCACAAGTTATGACTAGAACAAGAATGGACACACACACACACACACACACACACACACACACACACACACACACACACACACACACACACACACACACACACAAGGGGTATTCAGAACACAGTTATTGCACTTTGGTTATTACACGTAAGAACCATCAATTATCATTACGGTTATTGGTTGAATCATCCATTGAGTGAGAGGTGTGTAACGTGACCCCCTAGCTAGTGTAGGAGGGTGAAGGGGAGAAGGGGTGGAGGGGGAGAGGTGAGGAGGAAGGGGAGGAGGTGAGGAGGAAGGGGGAAAGGAGAGAGAGGGGGAGACGGAAAGGTGTGGAAGTGAGGAGAGAAATTTTGTTGTTGTCCAACCAGAGTGGGACGTACACAGGATAGGACGTACACAGGATGGGACGTACACAGAGTGGGACGTACACAGAGTGGGACGTACACACCTCTCACACGCTGTAGACAAACTTACTAAGCTAATGATGATGAGGCCTCAACGGACCCTGAACTTAGTATGTGTTCAGGTCACATAATATCGAGGGCTCACATATGGCAACAGTGAATTCAGGGTTTGTCCATAATAAATAAGTTTGGTTCACCTGAAGATTAGCTCCCCCCATGAGCTTATTTCACCTGAGGATTAAACACCCTAATGCTACCTGGGGAAGAGGGGGGGGGTTAATGTTAGGGTGGTTAAAGGTGAAATAAACTAGTGGGGTGTCTAATATTCAGGTGATCCATGAAGTTAACCTAATGATTGATACACTGTACAGGATAATATGACACAACAGGGCGGAGGTGCACCAACACAGCCTAAATCTGACATCAAATTTCTTCAATAAATAAAAAAAAAACCACTAAGGTAAACTAACAGAGTATTCGACTGTATTGTACAGAGACAGACGGAGAGCTTCAGCAGCATCAGTGCAAACGTTGACAAATGGTACAGTAGTGCATAGAGGAGACGTCATTAATATTAAAATAGCGACATTGCACAGTTGATCACTTTACAAAATAATCTGACAGCCTAATAAGGTTGACTTGTGCTGTCTCCGCCCGACACACAGAAGAATTAATTCCAAACTTTTCTTGGCTAGAAAAAGTAATACAAAATCTGTGTTGACAGTCTTTAAGCTTCAGACATTTTGACTTTTGTGTAACTTTTCAAGACTATGACACCAGGTGAGAGAATATAAGATTTACCTGCCTAAACACTTTGTCATTAAGAAGTTAACATGTCGAGGACCTCGTCGACCGTCATGTTGTTTTTGTGGTATTCCTCCATCGTCTCCTTCGGGATGGTCCACTTCAGCAGGAGGAGGACGTTCTTGCGTAGTTCGTCCAGACGAGAGAGCGCCTTGTCGTTGATGGGTTCGTGGCCAGATGACTCCAGTGACAACTTCAGCACGTCGTCCACCAGCCGGCTGCCGAAGCCGAATTTACACCGTCTCTCCTCAGAGGAGATGCGATATAAGAGTACGGCCAGACGGTTACGGAGACGAGCCAGAGTGGACTCTTCCACGATCTCCTCAGCCTCTTGCTCCGCCGTCTTATCTATGCCGTGTTCTGTACGCTCGTGGTTCTCTAACTCATTCTGGGTCTGGAAGAAATCTTTACAGATTGTGCACAAGTAAGGCTTGGCGGCGTTGTGGACACACTTCATGTGCTTCTTCAGGTGGGGGAGCTGAGAGAACGCCGCACTACACAACACACACTGGAATGGCTTTTCTCCCGTATGGGAGCGCATGTGGATTTTACAAGCTGATGAATGTGCAAACGCCGCCCCGCATATTTGGCACTTGTATGGTCTCTCGCCCGTGTGGATCCTCATGTGTACAGTTAACTGAGAGTTCTGTGTGAAGGTCGCCCCGCAGGTGGTGCACTCAAAGGGCCGCATGCCGAGGTGAAGTCTCATGTGCTGCTGCAGGTGGCCCTTGAAGGCCTTCCCACACAAGTTGCAGGTGTAGGGGCGCGACCCGCGGTGAACAGTACGGATGTGTTTGTACATTCCTTCCACACGGATGAATTTCTTGCCACAGGCGCCACACTGGAACTCCTTCACACCGCGGTGAGCCAAGAGGTGGCCCTTGAGGGTGTGGTAAGAGGCGAAGCGCGCGCCACACTCAGCGCATCCATAAGCCTTCTCACCCGTGTGGACCCTCCAGTGTTGGGTCACCTGGCTACGACGAGCGAAGGTCTGGCCGCAGCGGTCACATTTATGCGGCTTTTCTCCCGTGTGAACTCTCATGTGGAGCCTCAGGCGATCTTTTAAGGCGAAACTCTTGTTGCAGAGATCACACCTAAAAGGCTTCTCCCCAGTATGAATAGTTTCGTGTCCTCTGAGCGCCGTGATCTGGACGAAGGTGGCTTTACAGATCTTACACTTGAAGGGCCTCTCGCCGGTGTGGATGCGGACGTGCTTCAGAAGATCGGCCTTGGCTGAGGACAGTTTACCACATATACCACACTTAAACCTTTTACGTTTATTATTCTCATCTAAATCTGATTCATGTTGTTTAAGAACTATAATATGCTCTTCGTTGGGGTCTTTAGAATCCTTGTCGGAGTCTTTACTGTCTGAGGAGTCTTCACCACTCAGGTCCTCAATATCGATCTCCATCCCACCTTCAGACTCGTCGGTGCTCTCGTCACTCGGGTCATCCTCTGGTTTATCCTTCGCCCCTAACTGGTCGCCCTCACCTTCCTGTGTCTTCTCTGCATTCTCTTTATCGGATGTATCAACCACCTTGTTACTGGCCTTAGGTTTCCTTTTACTAGCCTGAGTTGCGGTCTTCTTTGGGCTTTCTCCTCCTGCTGTTTTCTTGGCTTGTTTGGCCTGCGCTTGTGTGTCTTTCTTCGTGGGTGTTGTCTTCTTTATTCTCTTCTTCTTGGTTACTTTCCCTGGACTCGACGTTTCGCCAACTTGTTCCTCTTCATCCTCCTCCCCCTCCACCGCCGCCTTGTTCTTAGAGGGGGACGACACTGGGGTCACCTTTTCCTTAACCAAATTGGAAGAGATGACGATTTTATCAGAAGATTTACTGGTCTTCGCTGGGCTGGAGTTTGCCGTGTTGATAGCCGTGATTTTCCCCTTCCCTGTGTTGGAAGTTATTGTAATTTTCTCCGACAGTTTCTCCTTCTCTTGACTAGAATTCACACTGGTCGCTTTAGTCTTGGCAACATTGGTAGTCTGAGTAATTTCCTCATTTTCTGTGTTGGTGTTTTGGGCGGCTATTTCCTTCTCCTCGGTCTTGTCTTTCTCCTTGGCGACATGTTCAGCAAGACCGTTCTTCAGGAGGGCTCTAAGTGACGACTGTTTCTTACTCCTACTGTTGGTCTTAGCTATAACCTTACCACTGGTCTTGTCTTGTTGTTGCTGTCCCTTCATGCTCTGTTTAGCACGCATGGTGACGTATACTGTAGCCCTCGGAAGGTGTTTTTTTTTTTTTTAGATCATGAACGAAAAAATAATATAAAATGAAGTCGAAGTTTTGGTTTGTTGTAGAGACGTGATGAAGCTGGTGAAAGTTAGTTCTGAAGGAAGGTTAAACGACCCACCACCATCAGAGACTAGAGTGTGTTAGCACCTGCAAGAGAACCACAGCCACTGTAAGCATTTATCTGGTACTACTGATATAATTGAAGAAGGCGAAGAAGAAGGGGGAGGAGGAAGAGGCTAGCTAGCTCTTAGTAACTTAACCACAACCATATTAGACATTCATTTGACTACACTATGGTCTAAAGAGGCTAAAACCTGAAAGAAAAAACCACAACCATTTTAAACATTCATTTGACTACACTATGGTCTAAAGCGGCTAAAACCTGAAAGAAAAAACCCACAACCATTTTAGACATTCATTTGACTACACTATGGTCTAAAGCGGCTAAAACCTGAAAGAAAAAAAAACACAACAATTTTAGACATTCATTTGACTAATAAAAACCTGAAACCTGAAAAAAAAACCATAATAAACATTTCATGGTTTCTACTGGGCTGAGATGGCGAAAACCTGGAAAAGACTGAAACCAAAACCATTATTTACAGTTCTCTAACACTACGAGAGTCTCCTCTTTCGGTACATAGATTCCTTATACGGGTTAATGCAGGAGACAATCTGTTACAGAGCTTTGGTTGATGTTTAAGACAGACAGACAGACAGACAGAGACACCCTTGATAAGACCCCCAAAAGCAGACAGACAAACATGTAAACAGAGTGACCCGTGATAAGACCCCAGAAGCAGACAGACACCCCTGATAAGACCCCAGAAGCAGACAGACATACAGACAGACAGACAGACACCCCTGATAAGACCCCAGAAGCAGACAGACATACAGACAGACAGACAGACACCCCTGATAAGACCCCAGAAGTAGACAGACACACACACAAGACCCCGTGAGCCACCAAACAGATTGCCTCTACATAATCAACTCGTCATGCACTGTTTACATAATCCACAATACCCAGAGTCTACCATGCATCAGCCTCCACGTAGTCTCGGTGTTCATGAGGCTCCAGGAAGACTCAGGAGGTATATTAGTCTCCATAAGGCGGGGGAGGGGGGTAGGAGTCTTAAGATTGTTATACAAAATTAAAATTAACTTTATATAGTTCACTGACGGTGTGTGTGTGTGTGTGTGTGTGTGTGTGTGTGTGTGTGTGTGTGTGTGTGTAGGTCATGTTTACACTACCTGTTTAACAATTACGAGATACCTAAACGACTTCTTATGAGAGAGAGAGAGAATCACCCAGGTGTCAAATTGCGTTTTACCTTATCTTATTAGTCCATGGTGATAACAGGTGAGGAAGTTTTGTTACCGTTAGAGAGGAGAGAGGGAGAGGGAGGGGGAGGAGGTGAGGGAGGGGGGAGGGAGGGAGGGAGGGGGAGGGAGGGAGGGAGGGAGGGAGGGAGGGAGGGAGGGAGGGAGGGGAGGGAGGGATCTATCTCACAAGCGTCTGAAATGAGGTTGACACGAAATGGCACACACACACACACACACACACACACACACACACACACACACACACACACACACACACACACACACACAGTATATTAAATGGCATTAATTATTTCCAGAAGTCGCAAGAGACCAGGAGTGTTGGAGTAGCCGGAGTGTTGGAGGAGGCAAGGAGTGCTGGAGGAAGACCGGAGTGGGAGGGAGGTCAAGGAGTGTTGGAGGAGAGCCCAGGAGTGTTGGAGGGGTCAGGTGTTGGAGTGGAGTGTTGGAGGAAGACCCAGGAGTGTTGGAGGAGGTCAAGGAGGTTGAGGACCCAGGAGTGTTGTTGACCCAGGAGTGAGGAGGAGGAGCGACACTCAGATATTGATTCACGTAACACAGGTCCCCCCTCACCCACGAGACAACGCCCCTCACTCCACCCCCCACACCTCACACACCTGAGCTTCTCTGCTACACTACACCTGCTACACACCTTATTTACAACACTGAAGTTTCCATATAAGTTATTTTTTTACACTGTACCTTTTATGGGCTGCTGCAATACGTGTGTGTGTGTGTGTGTGTGTGTGTGTGTTAATTGAACTTGAGATTAATATTTAAACTCCCGCGTTTGTCAAGAGTTTTAAAACGTAAAGTAAACTATTTAAGGTAAAGCAAATATATAATAATAATAATAATAATAATAATAATAATAATAATAATAATAATAATAATAATAATAGGAATAACCATTAAATATTAACATCTCATTTAAAAATAATAATAATAAATTTAATCACCCCGTTTATAATATTTTTAATCCTAATATGGCATTGAAATCTCCACACACACACACACACTCTAACCCGTATGTAATGTATTGATCACCCTAAAGATTCCAGACCGTCTACTCTATACAAATCAACTATACCTTATTTAATATTTATATACATTATTCAATCTGCTTAATGGCTTTCGGGTTAAAATAATAATATTCCAAGGTTTGTGCGTTAAATATCATAACTAAGCATCGGTAGGAACTTATCATCGCAGTCAATACATTTTACAGAATTTCCGACGTTTCAAACAGGATATTTTACCTTTTTCACCGACATTTCCACAGCAATAACTCAATATAAAATACAAACTTGATACACAATGACTGAGGTGTTTATTAATTTTGGTAATAATTACTGAATAAAGTAAAAACCAATTCAAAGAAAACGTAAAAATTAGTACAATTAAAGAAAATGCAGGGATAACTAATCAAACCTCAAAATTGCATTAAAATTGTCGAAGCCCAGTTATTAGAATACACCAATTAGAACACATACATGGATGAATATTCAATACTATCTAAAATTCAAAACAGTGGCACAAAAAATCAAGAAAAACAGCTGAAACTACAAAAAAAAAATCGAAAATGAAACAAACAGTAAAACACTGAAGCATTACATAATACACCAACAACTTCACGTAAAAGCAAACAAACAAACGAAATCGACCATACATGAAAAACATCACATAAAACAATCACACAAAGTAACAAACATCAAGAAACAAACAAAAACAAACACTAAACAAACAAATAACAAACTTTATGAAACACTAAAACAAACATCAAGAAACAAACGAAAACAAACACCAAGAAACAAACAAACTGACATAAAATTACACGAGAAAAATCTCTATATATAATGTGTTCACTATCAGTAAATTCCTGACGGAGAATGGTGAGGAGAGGGAGACGTCTATGCATGAGTGGGAAGGGGAGAGGGGTGTCTATACTTGAGTGGGGAGAGGAGAGGGAGCGTCTATACTTGAGTGGGGGTACGGGGCGTCTATACTTGAGTGGGGGTACGGGGCGTCTATACTTGAGTGGGGCGTGGAGGGGAGAGGGAGGATGGGAGAGGTTTATCCTTGAATAGATAAGGGAGGACGTGGGGGGTCCATCCGTCAGTAGACAGAGATAGTTTGAAGGATGCTCGCTAGAATGACATCAAGAGACACTCGACATTTGATCTTAATACCACACAAGAACGATATATCCCCGGGAAATCCAAACATTTAACAAGCATCCCATAATCACAAACACCATACGAACCAAATATAAAAAAAAACACATCATGAACGAGGAAAAACATGACGAAATCAAAGTAAAAAAAAATATTAAAGAATAACAGAACATAAAATAATCAAACATCGACTTCTATCAAATACACAACGCAAAAAAGAATCACCCAAAACATCGACTTCTACATAAAAATTTCTCGTGAGTGAAACACAAACTAAACATTTGGTAAGTTCACTTGACATGAATATTAATTAAAGTTTATATAGAGTCATCACTAAAAATAACATTACTTATTCGTCTTCGCAAAGGTATGAATATCCTGTTAAGTCACCCGGCTGGTTTACGGCACATGACGTCCTCTATCACCTTATCATCCAACAGATCGCTAGGGTATGTTATGGAGGTAATGTTGGCAATACTGCATGGGCAACACACATAAAACCCATTGCTCAATACTCATTATGTTAATAAATTCTTCTGATTCGAGATTATTACTTTGAAATGCGTTTATATGAAGCTAGGAAGAGATTTATATATCTGATGGGTAATTATAAACATTCTTACACTGTTTGTCCCCAGATAAAGGAACATTGACTTGGCTGGTGGATATTAATACACTTCTTGTTTTGACACGTTGACAATTATTCACTTAGTTGCAGGATAAATTAATCTATTCAGGGGGTGGGAACTTTTGGTCACATAAACATAACCTCGGAGGCCACTGTGGACTTACATATGGTTAGTAGATCGATTTATCACGTGTGGATGAGTGTGTGAGAATGAGGTGGGTGCGGGAGAAGGAGTTTGAACCTGGCGCGGTGTGGCACTGCGCGGCGGTGGTGGTGGTGTTACAGGGCGGCGGCCACACCACACCACTAGCCAAGGCACTCACCACCACCACCTCGGCTATAAATACTCGCCAGCCCTCCCTTCCTCACACCTCCACCACACACTCCCTATCTTTCCTTTGCACTTATTGGCACACCTCAACAGGTATTTCGTCGCCAGGTGGACTTTAAAAACAACCTTCGTCTTACTTTCTTCCCCTTGTGCAGGTTTCGGTTTAGCCTGGGGCGAGGCGGACGAGCAAGGACTTCAATGCAACCCAAATAAATGTCCCCTGTTGGAGGCATCCTGGGTTACTACCACCACTTCCACACATTAGGTCACTAAATACATCACTACCACCGCTATGTCGCGTTATTAACACAAAATGGTCCTCGGAGGGAATATATTTACCCCAAGAACAGAAGAGCCCCGGCTAATGCCTCACGTCCACCCACTCTTCTTTACCATCGCAGACTGAGCGCGTTCGCCTGCCTGCTATTGATCCAAACTTAGGCGTCGAGGTCTCTTGCCGCGTTAAGATGCCACACAGCGCCATCTGGCTCTCCATACTGTGCATTAATCCCTGCCACTTATTCTATTTTATCCTCTCTATCATCCTGAATGATAACATAACGCCAGGTGGAACATATGACGTCACACCTGAACGCGGGAATGTGGTGTTTAATGACATGATGAAAGGCATCACTTGGCACCTCTGCCACGTGCTATATCTGTGCCGACTCCCATCTGGACGGGTTTCCATTCTAAATAATCGCTCTTTCTGCTCTTCAAGTATACTAAATTGTTTACCTTTTGTAAACTGTGAAGGGACCTGCGGTTTATTTTGGTCTCACACATAAACACACAGTAACTGGCGCGGGGAGTTACCTAAATAAGACAAAAGTATCTAAGGAATTTGAATATATTCTAGATAATAATCAAAGAAAAGAGCATTGAAATTACTCAATAAATTATTTGTTGTCAATAAGATCTCACAAACAACACGGAGAGATTCACCTGATGACACATTACACCACAGAACACATAGGCAGTACGTAATTAACCTGACTATAGTGTAATGCGTTATAACACTATACCCCTCCCACCCTATTACAGGTTCAGGCACTAAATAAGGCGACTTTTGTCATGTGGTACAAGTCATAACACTTATTCTCCGTAACTATAGTAAATAACAATTGGTATTTATTTTTTAATAATAAGTAATAGTCATAAATAATACAAATATTCTTAGGTGGATATTTGACACGTGTCTTTGTTGGAAAAGTTGGGATTACCTCAAAATCCCTCTCCCACCCAGCATAATTCGCCTAACGTAACGTAACGTAACGTAACGTAACGTAACGTAACGTAACGTAACCTCATTTTATTGACAGTGGCTACAGATCCGGTTGGTGTTCTTTTTATTTATCTGCCAGAGCCGGATATAACAGCCTGTGTGTAAGATAAACCGACTTCCCATGACAAGGTTGGTTTAGTTACAGATCACGAGAGCAGTGAGTGACGTGGGATATTAAACCAAAGACGATTAAACCAGGTTTGTCTTGTGGGTTTGTATGTGTTATGTAAACGATAATTTTATACACTGAGAGGAAACACAGGTCCATATTGTGTTGTAGTAGGAATAATATAGTGATGACTTAACCCCTTGAGTACGATGACTTAACCCCTTGAGTACGATGACTTAACCCCTTGAGTACGATGACTTAACCCCTTGAGTACGATGACTTAACCCCTTGAGCAAGATGACTTAACCCCTTGAGTACGATGACTTAACCCCTTGAGCAAGATGACTTAACCCCTTGAGTACGATGACTTAACCCCTTGAGTACGATGACTTAACCCCTTGAGTACGATGACCTAACCCCTTGAGCACGATGACTTAACCCCTTGAGTACGATGACTTGATGACTTAAAAGACCACATCACCGTACTCAAAAAGTTAAGAATTTCTTCACTAATTCCGTAAATAAAAGATACATATTAATATAAGAATGTATCACCGTCCGTCATCACTTATAAGAGGTCTTCCTGCATGTATTCAAGGGGAGGATATACACTTAAGTGACTCATTTGGGATGTAAACAGACAGACAGACATACAGACATATAGACAGACAGACATACAGACATATAGACAGACAGACAGACAGACATACAGACAGACATACAGACATATAGACAGACAGATCAGACACATATACAGACAGACAGATCAGACACATAGACAGACAGACAGACATACAGACAGAGTATATCACAAGCGATATCAACGCATGTCAGACTGTGAGCCTAGAATCCAACGTTACCTCTCTCTCTCTCTCTCTCTCTCTCTCTCTCTCTCTCTCTCTCTCTCTCTCCACTTGAGGGATCTGTACCTCTGCACTCCATCGATGTATCACGGTATCACACTAATCCTATGCGTTAAGTTCATGTATATTATTTCCAGATCGTTAGGTTAAGTTAAGTTAGGTTAGGAACTTGTACCTCTGAGGTCCTCTTGGCCAGCTTAGTATCTAATCTTATCTGAGGTAATCAGACACCCTGGCCGCGCTCTGAACCTGAAGTTCCCGTACTGCTGTTTGCTGCGTGTTACAGGGAGTCTGTCTGCTGTACTATACCCTCTGTCTGCTATTTCTGCGTGTGTGTATGTGTCCACCGGAAACGAGATATATGATAATATTTATATCCTGTATTACAATGACATCTTGTTTATCATACTCTCTCTCTCTCTCTCTCTCTCTCTTCATGACACCTGTACATTAATTAAAAACAGGTTACTATCATCAGCTGTTTCACACACACACACACACACACACACACACACACACACACACACACACACACAGTAATAAGGGAGCACAAGCTAGGTGTTGGATAATGTGGTATTTCTTCATAATGTAGAGACTCAGAGCCACCACTACACATTGACTGCTAGATAAGAGGAGTCACGTGAAGATTAACCCCCCTCCGTTTATTTCACCTATTGATTAAACACTCTATCTTAACTTAATCTAACTTAACCCAATCTAACTTAAACCACTCTAACCTAACTTAACCCAACCTAATTTAACCTACCGTAACGTAACTCAACCTAATACTCAACGTAAGGTAAGGTAACGTAACTTAACGTATCCCCTATAGGTAACCATATGAGGTTTAATTATCAGGTCAATATAGGGCGCCTCATCTTAAGCTGACGTAAACATTACAACAATGTTTCCGAGAACTAATTACTAATCAAACATTCACCTGTATTACCACATAGCAACAGGTACAGCTAATCAACACTGTGTTTATCATACAATATGTGAAATGTATATAAATGTGTTGAATGTATATTATGTATATTATGTATATTATCGTAGCACGAGTCGGTCTTCCCAGGTACTCCACAGCGACACAGTTAAATGGGTTCTACTGTGTGTTCCTTCACACTAAACACTCACTGAACACTGAGGAGAGTTCATCAACAGGTAAAACTTATCCTATGGTCTATTATGGACTAAATTATATAAAGGTGACGCTGTATGAAGTATTTAAAAGACGGAAAAATGCTGTGATGGTTCGCCACAACACGTCACATCGCCGCCGCCGCTGGTGACGTGGAGTCGTTCAAACGCAGATGGTCAGTGTGGCGATCGATAAACGGGACACCCGCCATAACCGTCGCTAATTGGTACTACGCTCACACTTGGAGGTTCGCGTGCCGTTTACAATACGTACACAGGCTGCGTATACTGCAATGGTAACGGTGATGGAGGGGGATGGTAGGAGTTAGTGGACATATTGGAGCAAAATAACTCCCTGGAGACGAGTGGCAACGAGAATGCCAACGGATGTGGCAGTGTGCCTCCAGTTGCCGCTTACCCTTAACTAACTCGAGTTTATTATCCAATTGTGCTTTGTTTTTTATGTTATTTTACTTCATAAAACAACATAATTCCTTCCTACATCACCCACTAACCAGACGACAACACAATATACTTCTTTATCCCTTCAAACTCCTTTATTATTTACTTTAATATTCCCCAAAAGGTATTACTTACCTCCCATAATACACCTACAAGTATCTACACACCTAAAACGAACTGATAATGACACAGGAAGGAGTAGAGTGGGGAGGAATGTCAGTGAGCGGGAGTGAAGATTTTAACTAAGCGGTAGCAAGGAAACCACAGCGGAGTCAGCCAGCCACCCTGCCCTACCCAGCCCCGCGCTAATATCTTCTATACAACCTCTGACACACGCCTGCCCATTGTATAATTCTATTCACATAATCCCTCTCATTGTATGGCTTCATTCATACACCCTTCTATCGATTTCTTTCATCCTTAGAACTCTCTTAGTGTATTATATGCCTTCATTCATACACCCTTCTATCGATTTCTTTCATCCTCAGAACCCTCTCAGTGTCGTGTGCCTTCTTTCTTTCACTGTATGTATACTTCCCTACAATCTCTCACTTGTATACATATCCAACATCTCTCTGGATACTTCATCAACCTCCTGTATATCTTCACAACCAAACACCATTAAATCATTTCATACACTCATACAATCACAACCAGATGAAGTCAGTGAGTAATCTGGATATTTTACGTAAATCATAAAATAAAGATAAATTATGTGATTTCATTTATGGTATTGCTATTTTAGTTATAAATTTACAAAGTGTTTTATAGTATTTTTAGTCATATTGTCTTTCCTTACACACTTTTACGTTTACCTCTCCTCTCCGGGGTTTCAGAAGACTTTATTTTTGATTATCTAAAAAGGTTATAATTTTGGAACAGATTTTATATGAATCACGATGCAGAAATTACGAAAGGTTTAACTTATACGTAAAATCTGTGAAATATTATAATTAACTAACAATAAGTAATTATAATAAATGGATTTAATTGCCCTTTTTTTTTAATTTTTACTTGGTATTTGTTTACATAAAATTCATAGGGAAACGAGTGTAAAATATTTCACCATTAAATTTATACCAACTCTACATAGAACTTTAACAAAACATTTAAACAAATATAACCAAAGTATCCCTCTAAAGCAGCAAATATTATCAGCCAAGACAGTGAAGTGTGACAAGGTTAAGAAATGCCACAGACGGTAAACAAACACAATCAAGTAAACAAAACAAAAGCAGTGATCCTTAAGCACCAGATGTCACGAAGCTGATATAATGCTCACAAAATTATACGAGGATGATGACGATGATGATGACGATGATGATGATGATGAGGATGACGATGACGATGACGATGACGATGATGATGACGATGATGAGGATGATGACGATGATGATGACGATGATGATGATGGTGATGGTATAATAAGAGGCAAGGATTATACGTGAGAGAGATAACAAGAGACGAG